ATAGATAGTGTAGTACTTATTTACAGACACATCAGAAACACATTTCTGGATGACTGGGAATAACTTATTTCTAGATGATAGTAATTAACTCAGCTCTAACGAGTCAAGATTGCTGCTTAGTGTTGAAATAATTTTTCATTCTAGAAACTCCAGTGTTAGATGAAACTTTTTATTTCATCTTAGGAAGCAGCAGCAGCAGTTTTACAGCCCTTGTTTCAAACATGACTCCTGGTTGCAAAGAGCATTTTTCACTTTTCTCTTTACAGTTGTCCACTAATATATTTCTATCTATGACCAATGTATAAAATCAGTTTCACAGATGTGTTACACAGTCATCCACAATTCAAGTTGATAAATGTGACTGAAAAGTTGAGGAAGGTTAAAACACAGCAGGGCATGACTTTCTACTAACAGGAGTCAGCAAAAACATTGAAAATGTTTCTTTAGAAGCAAGTGAAGTCAGGAGGATGATCTCTATTGATCCGTGGGTTTAGTTCAAGTGACACCAGTGTCATGAAGTGATAAGGAAAGGTAATACAGTCCAACATAGAATTTTTAAAGTTACTAAATATGAAATGTTTAATTTTCTCAAAATGAAAATTGCCTTCTTTCTCCCATAGTACTCTTAACTGTTCCAGGTGGAAATTACTGAGTCACCAGACAGACTTAATAATTGGAATTTAACAAAGTTTTTAACAATTCTGTTTTTATTATATATCTGTAATGAGCAAATTTGTAAAACCAAGGAAAGAGTATAAATTAAAGCAAAGTGGTGCTAACAGAGTTCAAATGGTTTGAATTCTAGAGGGGGTTGTAGTCTGGCTTTTTTAGTAATCTGAAACTCTCCATGCTATGACTGGAGACTGGTTTTGAGGTTAAGTCTCAGTTGTGAAGAGATGTGTTATGTTTGATTAAATTTTACTTCTGAGGGGGTTTCATGACAAATAAGACAGACACCCAGGGAGAGGTGAATTCCTGAAGTTAATATGTCCAGAATCAAACCTGACTTTTTCCTTTGCAATCAAACTGTCCCCTAGTCCAACTTCTGACAATTGTTTTGCTTTGAACTCCTCCAGTGTTTAAAATTGTCTTTCTGGTTTTTTCACATGCTATCATTTCCTCTCCTTGTTCTTGCCATATGCAATATTATTTCTGTTATTCAAAATAAGAAGTGGCACATCTTAGTGTATGCAGAGCTTTGACCTGTTTTTATACCTTAATTGGGATTAATACCTTCTTGTTCTTTTATACATGCAATTATTTCTTTATATCTACTTAACAGATTCCTCTTCCATGTAATCTGTGTATTAATTTGCTGCAACAAGGATTGACATTTGAAAAAGCTTGAAACCCCCCTTCTCCAAATATTTGGATGAAGTTTTTAATTTTAAAGAATTTTGCTTTCTTTTAAAAATGAGTTATGTAAAATTAAATTCACATGTTGACAATTTGTGTCAAAACTAAACCAAACTTATCAATAAAACTGTTAGACAGGAAAGGTGTCACACCCTGTTCATCATGTGCATGTTGCTCACACTCCATTGGATGCTACATTAATTCCTGACAAGAGTCACTGTAATAAATAATTGGATTTGTTGATAATGAAGCAAGACTAAATTGCTCAATCCTCTGCTCCAAATAGCTGACCACAGTTTTTTACTAGCAGTGCCTTTAAAGCCAACCCAATAATTGCCAGAACTAATTGTTTCCTTTGAGTGGAGTGTAGGTAATTTTTTCAGACCTTGTTGGATAACTGGGTTGTCTAACCCTGGCTCTCTGTAAAAATATCCTTCCTTTCCTGCCCCAGGCAGAAGTAATTTACAGTTACTCTTCTAATCACAGGAGATCCATGATTGCAAACAGCATTTGTGGATGCTGTGGGCAAAGAATCCCCTGGAACACAAGGGCCCCTGGCAGGAGTGTTGTCTGCAGCCATGGGGGGCCCACAGGCTGACCCACCTCCTGCACCAGGCTGGGGCTGGGCTGGGTCTGGCAAACACCACTTCAAAATCAAATTCCCTCACGTGGAGCCAAAATCCTGCCTGGAGCAGCTGGGTCTGGGCAGGAATGCTTTAGGTGCTGTGCACGTACCAAGTAGTGGAAGTGGTAATGGTGTCCTAGAAGTGCTTTTGTGAGACAGTTCTTGCTAGTTTTCTTGGACTTGATGAAGAAATGGTAATTGAAATGGATCATAATTGATTTCAGAGAGTTCTTCATGCAGTGTCTCTTAGTGCCCTGGGTTTTGCCATTTGAAAAAAATTAATTTTCTTTTGAAAAGCCCGCTGTGTGCCTGGTCTCTTTGGAAAGGCAGGAGCCTGCGAATAGCATTATCATATATAATGGCTACCACTTACCACATTCGTTCTGATTATGTAAAACTGAAAATCACTGCAGTGAAATGAAGTTTCAATGTTTTTATTCAAAGCAGCTTCTCACAATGTATAAATACTGCATATTAACACACATGAAAAATACAACTTCTAAGGCACCCAGAAATGTGTCCATACACTAGTTACAGGACCATCAACAAATAAATTGTGTACAATTTGATCTAGACAGTCAATATTTGATATATCAGAAGATACAAGTCCCTCAGTACTGTACCAGTTTCAGAAAATATTTACAACACTGTGATATAGGGGTGCCTGTACCCTTATAATATTATAATATGTACTCATCATTACAAATATTAGAAACTGTTTTAGTCTGTTCCATGGCATTCTGACAAAATAACTTAAGGGCCTAATTTGCAAAGTTCTATAATTAATTATTTGTGCAAGTTCTGAAAATAAATTTACATTGACATAACTTGTGAATTTTTGGTTCTTTGCTTCATCTCAGAGGTTTGGTAATAAGCCTTACCAATAGACATGCCATCCCAGCTGAACATCACTCCTTTCCCAATAGCTCAGTGGATACATCTTTCCCCCTTACACCTGACATGGATGAGGATGCAGTTTTGAAGCAGAAAGAGACTGTTTGATCTTCGGTACAAATGTCAAACTAGTTCACTGGCAAGGAACTAATGCTTGATTAGGATAATGCAATTCTTTGGTCCTTTGTTTTTATGGAAGGCATAACATTTTTATTCACTAAAAATCGAAATCCTGTCTGTGAGCAAGCAAGCTAGTGACTGACTTTCAGTGTAGTATTTAAAGTAGCAGTAAAGAGATTTAATATGGCTTAAAACATATGGTTAATTGGGCAGACACAGATAACACATCGAGGAGAGCGAGTACCCAAATGTACTATGATAAGATTGTCTATAAGTCTCTTATGTAAACTTCTTTAGTGTCTCCTAAAGAGTGCTGGCTTTAGCCAGATTTGACTTTTATAGACCCAGCCACACAAAGCCTGAGATTAAACCACCATGGTTGGGAGCACAAATGCACAGTTTATATATAACAAAGCCCATGCTGACAAGTCTACCTATGTTGTTCAAAGAAACAACCCGTATTATCCTTTTCACAAGAAAAACTTAAGGCCCTGTACTCTGATTTGCTAACTTTCTTACAGCAATTATTTGGGGAAGTCCTTAGTGCTGCACAAGCAATTATGCAGCTTTAAAGATTTCTTGTACCTAATGGTAAGGCTTATTCACAAATGCAATGCATTTATAAATTATATTTAAAACTGTAAAGGCTGGCAAAATAATTAAAAAACCCAAAACCAAAAATAAAACAAACCCCAACCAAAACTGTTTGTTCATCCCTAACATTAAAAGAGCATTTTATTCTAATGAAAAACTATTGGCACAAAACCATTATATTATAGATTAAAAGAACAGTTCATAGTAGTGAAAAAGATTGCCTAAAACGCATACCCTAACCTACCACAGAAATATAAAAGTTTATATTTTGAAAATATATACTGTATTAAAGTTTGTAAGCTTATTTATTTAAACAGAAATGTACTGAAATAGTAAACTAAGCAACACTTATCTACAGCAAAAATATACATGCAGGACAACACAAAATAAATTGTTTACCTTTAATATCTACAAATGCAAAACTGTAGAATTTTAAAGATTGTACAAAACAATTTACACAAGAATAAAATAACATACTTAAACAACAAATTGCATTTTTAATCTTAAATACTGTGAATATTAGTAAAGGTACCCAGACTAATATGTACAGTACATCTAGACATCTGAATACCTAGTAAGGATAGAAACACAAGAGAAAATTTAGATTCTGATATTTAAATACTGGAAAAGAAGCTTTCAACATTGTTATTACTCTTTTTTGAGGGGAAAATAGATTCCATGAAAACTAGATTGTAACTGTATAGATATGAATAATTAAAAATGTTAACTATGGTTAGCGCTTGCTTTAATGGAAAAATAATTATAGAAAATGTATTTCAACCATTCCTTTGTCATAAAAAATGCTAAGATACAGATATCTGAAAATTCAGATGAAATGGTGCAGTTTTAAAGATCCAACAACATAAGATTCTTCCTTGTTTGCAAATCTCTTTCGGAACGCATTCCTTCACATTGCTGAGCAATCTTGCTATATTTATCTACAAAAACTAAGCATAGTATTGAAATAAACTTCCTAAAATCTTATTAACACATGACTAGGAGTTATGGCTCTCTGGACGGGAGTAAAGGAAATAAAGGAAATTGAGGAATCGTGGTACTTTCCATTGCCTTTTTTCCTTTTTCTGAAGGTGTATGCTGGAGGCCTGACTGTGCAAACTCATGTGTGTGTGTGTGTGTGTGTGTGTGTGTGTGGTTTTCACTGGGGTAACCCCTCTTTTTCCAGGTGACTCTGTGTGCACCTGCCCTGCTGGGAGCCCAGGACATTGATCCAGCCTGCCCCATGGTGCTGCTGGCAAGTTGTGGACAACAGCAAGGGTTGGTATAAACCAAGTGGTGCACCCATCACTTCAAATAGTTATTGAAAGAGTTCTCTTTCAGTCATTTTAAAATAAGCTAATGGTTTCAATAAGTTCCTCTTAAAAACATTTTAAACAGGCTTATTAGAAGCCAGATTCTGTCTTTTTAATGAAGAATTGCCATGAGAACTTCTGCATTTAGAGTAATGATTTCCTTAAAATTCAGTGGTACAATTAGGGCATAAAAACAGCACTTCTAATTATTTGTGGAAAAAGAAATGTTACATTAATATGTTGAAGGCTACTGTTTACTGTAATCACCTGTTTGTTAACTTTACAAAGGCTTTGTTGAAACTCTTTATGGAAATGCTAAGAGAGAGAAAGCTGAGCAGCCTCATTTGCAGAGGTTTAAATCATAATAAGTCACTGAGCTCAAGGGTGGAGAGCAAGTGCACAAATTACAAAGCAAACAAATGTGCAAAGCTTCTGCTTCAAGAGGTTTCAATTTGGGCGTACTACAATGGCAGGTGAAGTCTCAGAGCATGCTCCTGTCCTTTCCACACAAACTGCCCATGGCAGGAAAGAACTGAGAGACATCCAGTGTTCAGAAGTCTGTCAGTGTCACTGAACAGTACTAGGATCACATTCCAAAAGAGCAGATAGGATTTTCCTTCTTTATTGTGGACTGCTTTTATGGATAGCCAGAAGTTCTTGTAACAGGTGCTGGGGTGGCCAGATGTGGAGAGCTGGGAAAAGCAAAACAAAACCTCTGCCTCCACTGAGTTCAATGCCTAGCACCTTGTATAAACTGCTGGCCCACACCCAAAGGCCTCCAGAGCAGAAATTATCTCACACCTGAGGAATCAGGCAGCTAGACTAAGGCTCATAAGGATTTGCTTTTAGACTTCAGACCATAAGGGGTGTTCAACCCTGAAAAACAGTACGATGCCACGCAAGGGCACCACTCACCCTGTTACTGGTATCGGCTAACAGGAGTATAGTAAACTTAAATAAAGCATCTGGTTGGTGAGCCCTTCAGTGCTCCTCAAGAAGGCAGAAAGTGAAGAGAGACTTAAGGGGGACTCACTGTGTCAGAACCCACTTTTTTTTCTCTTAACCCTGGCAAATGAATCTGTTTTCATACATTTTTTTGTACAGTTTTACACATAGAGGAGCATGCACGTGGCTGTTTCATTTACTGCCCACAATATTCTGTGGGTTTTCTATATATTCTTTATTTTTCTACTAGTTTGCTGCTAAAAATGTGTTTGCATTCTCATGTGATACCTTTAATTCAGTCAAAAGGGTAATATGAAAATAAGATCTGTGATCAATAAACAACTGAATATGAACACAAAATAAATAAGTTAAATAAATTTAACAAAGAAAAAAAATTCTAGAAGTTTTTGTAAACTAACTTTACATATTATACATATAAATTATCAGATTTTTCCATTAAACTGTTAGAACTTAGAAAAAAATAATTAACATATTTCTAATGTATGGTTTTTGGGTCTACCAAAGGTCACGCTGACCCGGATTTTAGACTGAGCCCTCTGTGTCAGCCCTGGTGTGCTGCAACAGCAAGAATAAGTTAAGAAGGACAGACAAAATAAACCCTTACAGGGGGGTGAGCCTTGCTGGGCCTCAGTGGTGCTTCTCAGCATATGGAATGTAGAGTTGGATGTGGATGAGCAATGTGAAAGATGCAGCCTCTGCACAGGTTACGTGCACTCAACGCCTGCCCACGTCTTGGTTACACAAAATCAAACCAGCTACGAGCAGCTGTGCAGCTCACACAGCATTGGGATCACTGTCACAAATTCCTCACTGATGCATTGCCTCTGCTTCTCAAACATGGTCATGTCTGACTCTGGTCACTACTGGAGCAATTTCTCTTTAAGTTAGGCCAAGATATCAGACTTCATAAATTTTGTCTTGCAAGTAGCTGAATAATGAATCCAGTCCTTTGGAAGAACTCCACAGCTGTTTTAACATCTGACACTCCTTCTCGTTCACCTCTTCAAGTCCGGATTTCAGGAAGCTCCGCACGAGACATTTGGACTCTTCCAATACCTAAAGCCAAAATACAACTCAGTATTTTATTCTGAATCTGAAAAAATTACTATGGATACTGGCATGACCAGCATTTTTATACTGACTCTGTTTTACGATCTAAATAACTCCTCTGGGCACAGAAATGACATTTGATTTCTAGTCACAACTCCACTTGCTGATAGCCAGCATCTTTAAGAATTGAGGTTGATGGGTTAGTGCCAGGTTTTTAAAAGAAGAAGGGATTCTAAAGTACCTTAGTTTGTTGAAGGAGTGCCATGAAGCACAAGGAGCTGAACTCCCTCACATTGAAATGAAAATGTGTGAGGGACAATATACTGGCTACCTGTTTTCTGGAAGGTGGCTTTTAAGGGTAGACATGTTGGAAACCCAAATGTGGATGTCCATTATCTTTGAGAATTTTCCCTCATGTATTATTTCCTTATCAATACAGAATTTAATGCTGCAAATCCCTTTCTAAGCCTATTTGCTTACATTTTTATAAAAGTGGAATATTTTGTAAAAGAATGGTACTAAGCATAACAAGCATCCTCTGACTGTGTTGTGGAGTTAGATTTACTTGGCAGATACATCAAATCACCTGAGATCTTTGCAATAGAAAGCCCAACCTCAAGCTCTTAGTAATTGTTGCAAGTTCTGAAAGGCACAAACTGCAGGTCCATGGTTGCTCCCATAGTTCAGCTCCTTTCTCCCAGGCCCATTTTTAAACACATTGAGATTGATTCCTTTAAATTAGTTTTTAAATACACACCACCAGTCTGTATCTCACAAGGAAATGAACTGGTCAAACAAACCCAATAATAATTCCTACATTACTGATTTGCTGAGGACAGGAGATTTAATATAACTAACACAGTGTTCTGTGGGAAGGGAGTTGCATTCTCTTCATTCAGCTTTGTCCAGACCTTCATGTTAAGCCCAGTTCCTACATGTTGTGGGTTTCAACACTGCTATTGCAAAGTAGTATTAGTCTTTAACTCAAGTAAATGGTGTTAATAGCAAATCAAGGGCCCTGTGCATTTTTTGTGGTCTGTTTGTGAACAAGTCTTTGAAGGTTTATCTTTGTCCACAAGTCAGCACTGGTCTTTCCAAGGCGTCTTGAGAAAATTTCTTTGACAGCCACTAGCAGTGAGGGAAGGAAGAATTCACAGTAAAGCCCAGAGGTTTTCTCTACTCAAATAATACACATTGTATCAGCATCATCAAATAAAATTCTGCTACATTTCCAGAGAGTTTCATTCTCAATGTCTTCTGTGAGTTCTAATCTACACTTTGTTTAATTAAAATTCTCTTGTGTCTCTACCTACTTTTATAGCAGATCTTTCCAATGAAACTGAAGGATGCTGAGACAGATTCAGACATAGGAAATACAGCAAGAAACTATAACAGTTTTCACTTTAATTACTGCAGTTTTATTGCAGCCAGTATCACTTTCTTCACTGCATGTTTTTTAAACAAGGATGTGCCCAGAATAGGAGTACATCTGCCTGAAGGGAAAAACCTCTAGGAAGACAGGAAAGGATTTTCTTTCAACTTTTGTGTACACAAAAGGAAAAGTTATAATCCACTGTGACCAGAATGTGTTCAACTCCCCCTTGTCTGGATCTCACCTCTCCTTCACAGCAGAGCTTAGCTGGCACTACCCTACCCTTCTGTCTGGAACATTCTGCACCAGCAGTGCAGGTGCAGAAAGAAGGCAGATACAGCTGAAATCCTGTCCTGTAGGCCAGGACAAAGTGAAGGGCAAATCTGTTTTCTTACAGGTTTCCCAGTACAGTTGTAGAGTTTCAGACTGTTACACCTTCATGCAGGAAACCTGTGCTGAAATCCCCTTTCAAAATATGAGGCAAGGAGGTGCCAATCATTGAAAAAATGCCAATATTGTGGAAGGAAATAACTCCTCCCATCCTGATCCCTGAAAAACGAGAGACTCCATGAGCTCACTGATTCCTATCCAGGTTTTCTGATGTCAGCCTCCTTTCACAGGTATGGTTGTGGAAACTGAGGTCCCACATGTGACAAGCCTTGGGAGCTCACCTTACCTCTGTGAAATGTCTGTGAAATTTAATGAGGGGGTTTGATTTCTTACCACTGCACTGCAGGATGCCATTTCTTTCACTCGTAGCATCACTTCTTGGCTAAATGTTGTTGGCCAAAATACTTGTGACACCAGTCCTCTGCTGCAGGCTTCCTGTGCTGTCAGCTTTCTCCCACAGAACAACATTTCATTTGCCTGTGAAACCAAAAGACTCTGGTAATCTTGGGTTATAATTCCCTTCAAATTTTTCTCATACTTGCCTGCTATTTTTACGATTAAATTACAAATGTTCTTCTGTATCTTTCCGTACTGCAAAATACTTTAAAAGGAGTTTCAGTAGCTATTTAAGGATTGTGCAGGTGGCCAGAGCACAGCATGGGTTTAATTTAAGAGAAATGTGCTGGCATGCATGGTGAATCTGTATTGCTGATCTTACAAGAGTAACTATCAGTGATACTGTGTGGAGACTCATGGAACCCAGTAGGGAATATCTGTGAGACAAATTCTGATTTATTATACTGGTAAAAGCTAAGCAGCCTTACTGGAATCATTGTGGATTATCTTTAAAGAGCAGAGAGCAGTATCTGCCTGTATTACTGCCCACTCCTAATATGATACAGACAACTGCTCTGCAAGGTTATTCTGCTAATATATTTCTTCTCTTTTCTACCATGCTGTTGACAATCTTTGCTTTTTCAATCTTTCTTGTGTACAGCAGGTGTTGTATATTGAATTCCAAGATTATTTCATGATAAGAAGTTGGTAGTGATTAGATGAACTTTCCACAGATTTCATTTTCATTAAATTAAGAAAATTGTTTACTTTTTAAAGAGAGAAAGAATCAGGAGTTTATGAAAGGTTCTTCAGCAATTTGAGGTGGAAAACCTTACCAGTGCAACACCCAGAATTTGTGGGAATGTGTATGATGAGCAGCCAGCTGGAGTGAGTCGGATTGTTGCATATGGTGTCTGAAACCAAGCCTTCTCACTTGCCCAAACGATATCACAGAGTGGTAAAATAGAAGCTCCTAACCCCAGAGCAGGGCCGTTGATAGCAACCACAATTGGCTTCTTAAATTGAATAAAAGCTTTTACAAAATCCCTAAAATAAAAAATAAAAGAAAGATCTTGAATACAGAAGTAACACATAAATATCCAAGTTTAAAGTACTTAATCTGAAAACAAATTAGAACCACAGAAGAACACAACAAATGCCCAGTTTTATGAGGTGAGAACTGCAAGATACCTTCTAGTTTGCACATGGAAAAGTCTGCTTATTTTTAGTTATTTAATCTTTCTGAGTACCTGGGCTATTGCATAGTTTTGTGTATGTTGTATATGGTCTGATTAAGTGGATTGCACTGAGTGTGATACTTTTGCAGGAAGGTTTGGTTGGGTTAGTTTTGCTTCTGGACCAGTAACTCCCGAGTTTGAACACACAGCACTTCTTGGTTTGCTCCACAGTGGCTGGGATGGACCTTGCTTGGCTGCTGATGAAATATAACAGTCTGATTTTAAAATTTTTTTCAAAAAGTTTTCCTAAGATCCTGTGTCAAAGGTTACTGCAAGTCCCATCAGTGAATTGGGAGATTGTAATGTTTATGGCACCAGCAGAAAGAACAAGACATGCAAAGAGGAGTCAGAGAAAGTCTGAACATGATGAGTGATCTTCAGTTGGATCTTCATTGCAAAAATCTTCAGCAAAGCCATTACACAGCAGATGCCCTTGCCTGACCACCCCAGTAATGTGATGAGAAATTACAGGGAAGTTAAATGTCATCGGATTCATCTGGATGAATGAACTAGAATATGTTAAATTCTGTGCAATGAGGAGATCTTTTAAATAAGCTACCTACCAGCAGCTGTGGAAAGACATCTGTTGAATGGAACAGCCTTTACACCAATTAGGAAAAAGCAAGAGTGTAATTGTGGGCAAATGATGGGCTCCAGCAGCTCAGTGCACAGCAGGTATATGGAGGCAAACGAGATGCTCAGTTACTTTAGAAAAAATACATGGATAAATCAAATTCCAAACAAAAGAGGAGATTCTGTCCCTGCACTGGGCATTTATTAGATCCAGAGTGCATCTTTGCTGACAGATTTTAGAAAAGAACATTTTGTCAAATGTGCCCTTGATGAGCTGCTGCTCTCCCACTGAGGTCAAAAGGATCCAGGCCTCTGTACCTGAGCACAGGTGGGCCTTGCAGGTAAGAGAGCACATGTGGCAGCTGGGCTGAAGTGCAGGGGCACTGGCTGTGTTTTACATGAGGACAAAGAGTCTGAGATGACCCAGCATTAAATTTTCAATTAATACATTCTGGTTTTGAAGTCCTCTAGTAAGGAGGACCATGGGAAAATAGAGAATTGATGCAGCTCTGTTCACAGTAGTAAACCAGGAGATCACTGTCAAGACAAAGAGAGTGAAATAAGGAACATGGTTTTTGTCTGTTCAAGACCATTTCTGTCTAGAGGAGAGCAGGGTTAAGGAGAGTTGTGATTAGTTTTTGTTGCAGATACAATGCTGTTCCCTTATCTCATTATTTCTTTGGTTGTTTATGACTGAACAGTGACTGTGGATCACTGCACCTCATTAATTCCAGAATTTTGAGAACCTCAGTAGTTACGTAAGTCTTTCAGACAGGACTGCAGTTGTGAATAGGGATGTGATGAATGATAGGTAAAAAGAAAGCAAACCAAGGATAAATGGTGGCAGTAAATCTGAGGATCCTGTGGAGGCAGATAAAACCAGTGTTGTGTAGAGAAGCAGGAATCATGGTGATAAACGGGACTGGAAGTGAATATGGAAAAGCAATTTGGGATGTGGAGAGGAAACATAATGTGGAAGAAGAACAAAGCAGAACACATTAATGGAGGGGAAGAGTTGAAGAAGTCTTCAGATGAGTGAGCAAGGAAGGGAGGACCTGGAGAGAGTGGAACACAACATTGAGAAGACACAGTGAGCCTCTGTCATGAGGGAAGAATGGGGAGCACAGAGGATGGTAAAATGGATGGGTATAGAACATGCTACCTCTAGGATGGAGTGGAAGGCTACAGTACTGGGAGATGATGAAGGGAACAAATGCCTGCCTTTGGTCTCCAGAAGCTGCTGTGACCAGCACTCCATTTGTCTTTGTTTCCTGTTTGGTGCCTTGTTTCAGTGGGTTGTCTCTGTACCCTGAACTTGGCACGTTTCCTTGTCTCCAAACTATAAGTTCACCCAGGGAGTTTCTGGGCTACAGGATCCTTGTTTCAATTCAAAGCAGTCTTTGAAAAGGATTTCACATTATAGCTGTTGTTGCACAGTAGATCCAGATGCTTAAATACAGGAAAACGTGTCTGCAGGAGGCTTCTGGATTTGCTAGAGCATATCCAAAAGGCTGACCATGGAATACCTGCTGGGATGCTCAGACACTTCTGCACTGTTCCAGGCTCTTGCTGCTGGTCAGGGCTTGTAGGCTTTACATCCAGGGCTGTAAAGAAGCTGAGCAAGTAAATTTGTCCTTGTCTGTTTTCTTCTGAGCACACCCAGAATGTTGTGGCTCAGGTCCCACAGCGCTGCCCAGCTGGTGGTGTGAGCCCAGTGTGGGAATGCCTTCCATGAGTCCATCCCAGGGCTCTGCAGGTCACACTGGGCAGCCTCTCTGCCTTTTCCCTGCTCCAGGACAGCTTGTGGAGGGTGGCAGCTCACTGGTGGGACTGGGATGGATCTGGCATGGATCTGGGATGGAGCTGCAGTGCTGCACATCCATTCATTGCCAACACCAGTGGCTGAGGCACCGCACCAGTGACTGATCCATTGATGGGAGAGGAGTCTTGATAGGGATTGAAACTTCAGCTGTAACTTGTGACCGGTACAGGAGAGCCACGCTTGGAAAGTGGAAACACATGGTAACCAAGACTTCAAATTCACTTTGATACAAGTCTAACTTGATGTAAAGCAGCAGAAGCAGAGATCCATGGATGTATTTTAGGACATCCAAACCATTGAAAAAAGCAATGGACATTTTTTCTTCTCTTATTACAGTTTATTTTCCATGAGCTGAGTCCTTTGTTCACAGAAAGCACAGAGAGTGCTAAATGGAAAACGTAGGGTATTGTTTCCAGAAGTACAATAAAAATCTATTTTCAGTGGGCCTGAAGCCGACATTCTTGACAAGGTACAAGCAGTACATTGTACCAGTATTTCAAGAGTGTTCTGTGAGTCCAAGGGTGGAAAAACTGAGTATCACAGTCTGGCTTATACTTATTTAAATGTTGGATTGATAAGTACACCTGTATATTAGATGTATGCAAAGAAATGTAAACTTATATAGCAACACTTAACTGCACAATTTTTACAATAATACTAAATTTGTATCGTTTGGTGGGTGGTGAGTGTGCCTGTGTTTTCAAACAAGAATTGTGATTTTCTACCCTCACTTTTTTTTTTGTTCTACATTGTTAAAAAACCCTCACATTTAAAAAATAAACTTAGACGGTGTCCTTCAAAGGGTTTCTCTTTTAAAAAATATCACTCCGTGATATTTGAGCATATTTAGGGTCTTATAAACAGCTTGTAACTTACTACATTTAAGAAGTATCTTTTAAAGTCTTTCAAAATAATTGCTACTTTGAGAATTTCACAATTTTTAAACCTGGAATCCAAGCTGATCTGCAGCAGTTGTAACCAAGATAATTGGTGGTTAATATACTTTGTGTAATATCTAAACCTGATCTTACATATACTAATAAATCCCAAGTAGACATATCTTGTAAAAAATTCTTTAATATTCCTTCATAGTATTGTTGCATGAAGTTTTAAAGCCCTCAGAAGAATATTTATTTGTAGAAAATGGAGGGAAAAAAGGGACCAAATTGTCTCCAAATTGGTGAAATACCATTGGCTTTAGTGGAATAATATTGATTTATACTGGAAAATCTGCCTAGTGGATAATGGAACATTTGGTGATGTGTTGTGCAGATGATTTGCAGACTGCATGTTATAAACCCTGGAATTCTATTAAGGTGATGTGATATATATATATATATATATAAGGAAAGTTGCATTTTAGTTACAAAAATAAAATTACATTTACATATATATTAAGTAATTTAAATTTAAGAAGAAGAGTGGAGACCCTTCTAGTAAGGTTCTGAAATACAGTGGCAGATTGCTATTTCAACAGAATATAAGCCATGGATTCCCATTTGGACTGAAATTAATTAAAATGATGAACATTAAAACAAGTAAAAGATCTGCCTTTCAGGAACCACTTTAGAACATGAAGCAATACTGAATTTGGAAAAACAACAACAAAGTTGTATTTGATTTTAGAGGACTGATTTGAAATATTAAATACAGAGAATTAGAATAAAATAAATCCCTATGGATATTAGCACTGGAAGAAATGTGCTTTCTTTTCTAATATGGAAAGGTCCAAGTTTCTTTTTACTAAACAAATTTGCAGGACTATAATTGGAATGCAATCAACATTTAAATATACAACATTTTTGGACCTGATAAATATCTTTATAATCACACACTGCATTTCATAATTTAGAGATCATAGGTAAGCTTGGGTCACCTTATAGCTTCTGCAATCCTAGTGCTTTCCTTTCTTCTGTCATTGGATAACCTGCCAATTAAATATGAGTAATCTAGGCCACTACAGAATACACTTCCCACTGCGCTGAGAAGTAAGAGTTTACTGTCATCAGCTGATGCATTGCACAATGCTCTCCGAACTTCCTTCATGATCTGTGGATAAAGAAAAGTAAACAATTCGACATGCATGCCGTGGCAATATCATTTCCCTACTTTTACAAACCTTATTGATTTTGAGAGACTTAAATTTTGGGCGCTAGTAATAGTTACATCAATTATATATAGAATTTTAATATAGAATGATATTAGAATCATTAGAATGATAACACTGAGAGTTTGCAGAATAATTTCTATTTGGCAGTGCTTTGTTGATGTTTTACTAATTGCAAGAGGTTTTAGGACTTGGGGATTCTTTGTTGTATGGGAAATTCTACCCAGCTTATGCTATTTGATTGCAATTTAATAATTTCAAATATCACTTTTTAATTTTCATTGTGTACATCACTGTATCCTCAGGAACATGTTTATCATAGCAAAAGCCTGTTATTAACCTCAACACTTGAAAGCAAAATTTTTAAACCCCAGTTTTCAGTACTTCAACTACTTTGGTTTGTGTGACTACAACCAGAGCAAAGCAGGACAAGAAGACATCATATACATCAACATGACAAATATATTATTCATTTTTACAGTTTACAAAAGTTAAATCGTAGAAGTCCCTTGAAAAAGAGACATTTTGACTTTGTTTTAAAACTGGATCAAGCTATTAATTACACCATGAATCAAACCTAATCAAAATTTATATAGAATTGAGCTGCTGGTATTGTAGGAAAATGGCCTTTCACCTGCACAGAGAATTGTTTCCTAATGATTTTTAAAAGGAAATTTTATTTCATAAACTTCTGATGGGTAACTTCTTGTTTGGTCACAGTTGGGCATGGTTTGTGAGCTGTAATGAGCTGTAACTCATTTCAGGCCCCTCTCCTCTATAATGTGCTCCTCATTTTAAATAATTTGCTCCTCACTGCAAGGGCCCTGATTTCATCTAGTGTGACACCTCTGTCCTTCATCATACCCATGTGCCAAAGTATTTCCTATAGACATGGTCCTGCTGTTTCAAAGCTTTCTCTTTTGCACCAAAAGCTTTGCTGTTGGTGTAAATTTAGGTAAGAGAGAGCTAAATGTGGCTGGGGATTTAAATAGAATTTCCATGTGAGAGAAACCCAAGATTTTTTAGCCTGTGATTATTTCTGTTCACTACTTTCTGTTACCAAAACTTCTTTAGATCTCTGAAGTGCCTTGTTTAAGAAATGTCCCTGAACACTGAAGTTTTGTTGATGCCACCCCCTGGTTAGCCTTTTAATAGAAATCCTATGGATTGTGCTGCTTTCCCTGTGGGTTTGTGTAAGGATGAGTATTACTGGCTGCTGGGACTGGCCATGAGAGAGCAGCTGGTGAACTTTCAGATGCTTCACTTCCACAAGAGCACTTCAGAATGTCTGTAATACTGAGTGTGTGACAGTGGGTGGAAGTGAAGTAATTAAAAGCTGCAGAATTTGGAAGTGTATTTGAAATTCTTATGCAGGTACAAAAATGTCATCAGCAATTTTAGGAGCACTGTTTATTCTGACAGTCTCAGAGGCTGTCTCAGCCCTCAGCTTGGAGAAACACAGCAACACTGCACATAAAATGGGGAAACAAAGGGGAAAACCCCCTAAAACCTTTAATCAGTGTTAAAAGAGAAACTTTAGAATGTGGTAGATATTGAAATTAAAAAAAAGAAAGTATTTTGGTTTTCCTAGTTCCATCTGAATGCAATGTTATCCTCTCAATTCACTGGAAAAAATCTCACAATCTGCTCTTTCTTAGGGTGAATGTATAAATAATATTAGGGAATACATTTTTCTATCCAGTGAGGAATGCTGCATTAAGTATGATGCCATGATGATACCCATTCAGCAATTGTGGAGACAGTATTTCTTTCTGAATGCATTTGATGAAAGTTTCTGAGGCAGTATTTACACAACAGAATGGGCCAGTTATTTAGGTTATGGTAGTTGACTGGATTGTAAATTTAGACCAGACCTAGTGCTTCGCTTACTGTTTTATTGAAACACAAATATATCATAAAATTATCACCTTCTCAGAAGTTGCTTATAATTTTAATCCTGTCAAGTAAATAATCTTGTTAGTTCTTGAACAGGACGTCTTATATTGCAAAATAAACATGAACCAGTTAAAAACTTAATTAAACTTCTAAGAGCTTATTTTAATGCTTTTTGCTGGAAGTAGGAAATTTCCAAAGGAATTTGGTGCCCTTTGCTTTCCATCTTGCTTACATTCTGGGAAAATCAAAGAGCTGGGAATTTATCACCACAATTACACGAAGTATCTTGAACAGAAGTCTCTTGTTCACATAAATAGAAACACTAGTTAATAAAAGTTAGCTTTTCTGAATCTCTGAGGATTCACTGTGATATTCTTAAAGGTAATTTAGGAATATTCTTAGAGATAATTTAATTTATTCTGTAAATATTACTGTAAACCCAAATTTTAAAGCCATTCTGTTGTTCTTAGAACCTCTTCCCCACTTGTGCTTTTTTACATAAATAAATTTTGTGTTACTGATTCTGAGTCCTTTCTGTCCAGCACCTAAAGGACTTGGGAACCTTGAAAGCTGAAGGCACAAACACTGGCCCAAACCCACAATTTACTTTTGTGTAGAGAGCAGAATTACACAGAACAGTAAACTTGTACCTGCCTCTTTTTTATTATTTCCAGGGTAGGAAAAGTGAAGGCAAACCAGTGCTCCAAAATGTACCTGGGAGAACTTTAAACATTGTTATTCACATTGAAATTTGAAACTTGATTCTTGTGTATGAGAAGGTACTTGAGGTGGTTCTGTCACTCCTGGGTGGAAGCACTGGCTCTTTAGAGAATGTTTCACTTTAATTCAGGGGAATATTAACTCCTAGCTCTGTTAATAGTGTTAAATGAGAAGAGCTGATGGGTCTATTTAGTCTGAAACAGAATTTGGATCCTTGAGATGTGCTGAGTTAAAACAGCAGCAGCACCACTGGAGAAAGAACATCAGGAGCAGCAAAAGTCCCACAAGAAAAAAATGCCCTAATGGAATTCATAATTAAATATTTCAGAAATGTATTTAAAAAACAAAAGTAGCAAGCCTAAGCTACTGAAATAAGAACAAACTGTGCTATTTTGTGACAATGTCTTGGAAGTTTTATGAGCTCTTGTGAAAAATAAGAAAGAATTTCTATAGTGCCCTGAACATTTCTGTAGAAAAGACTCAATTACTAAAGAAGCACCAAGCCAACATCAGTCAGTGCAAAGGCTGCTGGAAAGAGCATTGGCACATTTCATGCTAAAATCACCTGCACAATTGGGGTTACCAGTAACACAGGATGAAGAGTCAGGCAGAGTTCTCTAGACTTTATTTTTTTTTTTGGGTATAGATAAGTTCTTTGTTATTTTAATTGGCATAAATACCAGGGGCCAATGGTTGAACACAAATATTAATTTCATCTGAAGATTCCTATAAAGCCCAAAGGGAAGCAGAGCTATTGAGGGGTGAATGGGATTTTGTATAAGCTTAGGTTTAAATGTTTGAAATGATTGTTTGCAGTGCACACCTTTTTTTTCTTTAACACTGATGGCCAAGTATAACCAGGCCACTACTTAAGCACATCAAATAAACCTGCTCTGAATAAATGATTCATTTGCTATTTGGCAAACATAATTTACTGAATGTCTAATAAAGCTTGAAGTTACCACTTTACACAAAGTGAAACACACTTTCTTCATTTTGTAGGAATTGTTTGTTTGTATTTCATATTCACTAGGGATAAAAGGCATCAAAACTGAAAATGCTCTGAACATCCCTAAAACACTTTGTCAGTTTGCCTCACCTATGGCTATGGGTGACAAACTGCAGGAACAAGTCATTCAACACCTTCCTCCTTTCAGTTCCTGGGTTTTTGCTGTAATTGCCAGCAAGAATGTGAAATTGCCAGTCCTGGAGGTGCTGGATTTTGTGGTGTGAATGATCATGGGCAGCAGCCTGGACTGAGGCCAAAGGAGCTGTTTCATGTTTACAGCCATGAGTCTTCCAAGGGCAAGAGCCTGTGATTGCTCTTGGCCTGGATGAGGTTTAAACAGACAATCTCCATGTGGAGAACTCAATACCTGATTAATTCCTGACCATCCTGGTCAGTAAAGTGGTTTTCTAAAATGCATTTCCTGGTTTTCAAGTGAGCTGCAGTAAAGGTTCTAGAAATAGTCTGTGCTGGTGATGCAGGGAGAGGACTATTACATGCTTATCATTTATTCTTCCACAGAGGTGGGTTCCTGGCTTATTGAAAACTCTCAAAGGATGAAATGGATTGGTTTGGCAGATCCAAAGATGCTGAATTAATCCCCTGGTTAGAGCATCTGAACTCTGCTGATGTGGAACAGCACAGCCAGCAATGTAAAGGTACGTCTGCTCTTACTGAACACAGAGAGTCCATGATTTCATATTTTTTCAGGTGCTTGAGCTCCTTCATCTAAATTACCTGCAGTGTCAATTAGTGGTAATGAAGACAGAGATGGAGTGATGGATTTGATGCAATCTAATGCATTTTAAGAAATTAGTGTTAAAAGCAAGTGTTGGGTGTTCTGTGTTAATTACCAAGACAGTCCTTCTAAATATTAGATAGTTTAAAAACTAGGAGTGATAAATGTTGTGTACCATCGGTTTTAGCCAGTTTATATCACTCAGTGCATTACTGCCCATGTGTATGTGTGCATTTGAGAAAGGGACTCATCATACCTGCCCACAGTAGGTAATTAACTTCAGAGTTGCTCCTTTTCTTATTGAATGACATGATTCCCCACAGCTACAATCTACTCTTCCCTCAGGTGCTGCTCAAACTGGCATTTCATACACTCTTGAAGTTGCTGTGTAGGACAGAGGGGGCAGAAAAGGCCGAGATCTCCCCAGTGAGGGCAGCCCCTGGAGGAGCTCTGCCTGCAGGAGCCTCAGCCAGGCCAGGCTGGTGCTGGGAGGCAGCTCCTGCTGCTCCCTCCCTGCTCCATGGCAGCCCTGGCCATCCAGCAGGCCCTTACTGCCTGGGGAACGGGCTCAGGTGTGAACAGGGCTGAAGTGTGAACAGGCTGAGGTGTGGGACAGGCTCAGGTGTGAACAGGCTCAGGTGTGAACAGGGCTAAGGTGTGAACAGGGCTGAGGTGTGGGACAGGGCTCAGGTGTGTGACAGGGCTGAGGTGTGGGACAGGGCTGAGGTGTGGGACAGGGCTGAGGTGTGGGACAGGCTCAGGTGTGAACAGGGCTCAGGTGTGAACAGGCTCAGATGTGAACAGGGCTGAGGTGTGGGACAGGGCTGAAGTGTGGGACAGGCTCAGGTGTGAACAGGGCTGAGGTGTGGAACAGGCTCAGGTGTGAACAGGGCTCAGGTGTGGGACAGGCTCAGGTGTGAACAGGGCTGAGGTGTGAACAGGGATCAGGTGTGGGACAGGCTCAGGTGGGAACAGGCTCAGGTGTGAACAGGGCTCAGGTGTGAACAGGCTCAGGTGTGAACAGGGCTGAGGTGTGAACAGGGATCAGGTGTGGGACAGGCTCAGGTGGGAACAGGCTCAGGTGTGAACAGGGCTCAGGTGTGGGACAGGGCTCAGGTGTGAACAGGGCTCAGGTGTGGAACAGGCTCAGGTGTGAACAGGGCTGAGGTGTGAACAGGGCTCAGGTGTGAACAGGGCTGAGGTGTGGGACAGGCTCAGGTGTGAACAGGGCTGAGGTGTGCCCTCTTCTCTCCAGGACATCCATGCTGATGCCAGCACTCATGGACACCCTTTTTCTTCTGACATGGGAATGGTGTCACAGGGCATTGCAGCCACAGGGAACGGAAGGAAAAGCTCCTCAGCCCTTGCAGTGATCCGTGTGTGTACTGGGGTAGTACAAGCTGCAAGTCTGAGTCTGCCCCTGTGTGTATAATGTTTGGAACAAGGGAATTCATTTCTATCTTTTACATGTTGTATGACTTTATGCAATTCAGCTGAGGATAGAGTCCCTAATTGGTTAAGATTTCATAAATAAATACAGTGATTCAGAGAAAAAGTAATTAGGGATCAAGATGGAATTTAGAAAGGCTGTCTCAGGATATAGACTGAAATTCTCTGTATACAACTGGAGCACTATTTAAATTAGTAAAAGGAAAGAGAGCAGATTTCTCCTAGGATAGTAAATATCAGTAACTTCAATGTGTGAAAAGCAGCTTCACACAATTCCATGCTGGAAATACTAATTCTGCCATTCCTTTAGTTACTTTTATTTTTTTCAGCCATGTGAATTAAAATTTAATTTCCATTGCATTCTTCTGGATAGGAATCCCAAGTGTGAAAGAGTCAGATATGTCTGTACTCCAGACTTCTTTTCTAAGTTCATCAATTAAGGAAAAAAATACATAAAATCGAATTCAAGTGCAGTGTTTGCAAGATAACCCACACATTGGGATGGCTTTCTTTGGCTTTTAGGGCTAAACACTTACCTCTGGGGTCAGTGCATTGTTCTCTGAAGTCTGACTTGACAGCAGAATATGAGTGAAACCATCTTCTTTGCGGACCACAATGTCCCTGAAGCGACAGTTACTTTCATTTTGGCGCACGCTGTATCTCAGTCTCTTATCAAACACATAATCTTTCTCTCCATCAAGTTTCCTTTTCACAGTGCTGTGTAGATTCAAGCTTCCATTGGCCAGAGAAGAACCTTGCAGATGGAAAGAATTGAAGCATAATTACCTCTATACCATCAAAGAAATGGAGTGATACTCTCTATTAGCTTCAATGAAAACAGATAAATATAAAATAACAGGAAAAAATAAATTTTCAAAAAGTGCCTGGCTCGTCAAATGTGGCCTCAAGCCATTGTTCTTATTCTGTATTCCAACGTGCAGAACTTTTTGTTCTCTGATCAGACAACCTCTGGACCCAAGGAACTGATGCCATTTTGGAGAGTATCCAGCAGTAGGGAAAAAAAGAGAACTATGAGAAGAAAGATGTAATTCCTCCTTAAAAACAAGTAAGAGCAATAGTAAGTCAGTTTTAAAAGACAGTTTATTCTGACTTACTCTGTGTATGAACTGCAAACCACTCCTTTGCTGATGTCTACAGTGTTTCTGTAATAGGCAATAGATGATGATTGGTAACAGTGCTGAGTGGGGGTGTTGAAGGAGCTTTATAAGGTTTCTATGTAATAATCCTTTTCTAATTACAGATATTTCACACTATTGCCATTAAAAATAAAGCAGAGACAGGCTGTTGAGGGACAGAGATTAAAGTCACTGGTTTTTGTTTATATAGATACCAGCCCACAATGCAGTATTTTTAAGAAAGGCCAAGAGAGAGTTGAATGAAAACACCTTTGTTTGCTCTGTTCTTTACTCCTGCCAAAGCTGACCTGTTCCAGCTCCTGGTTTCAAATATCCAGGAATTTTTAAAGGGCAGATGACATGAATATCAGAATACAGGTTTAAATTTTAGAGTTTAAGTGACCACCATCCAATTAAAACTGCTCTGCTGGAATAGAATTGAGCAGTGAATTCATGACAGATGCCTCTCAACCAAAATCACTTACCCTCATTTTGGATTAGCTGTGTTTCAGCTGATGCTTACGTAGGTAACTGATCTGTCTGACACCTCCCAGTTGGCAGTGGCCTGTGGAATTGTTCACAGTGTGTGAAATCCTGTATGTGCACTGCAGTCAGGAGATGGGATGTGAGAACACAGCCAGTGCTCAGTGGGGTGTGCATGTGGGTACTCACACATCTACTCACAGGGATCCACCTGGTCCAGGAGCCTGTTCAGTCAATCAGGAAACTCTTTTTTCTTGTTGAATTAAGAGATACCATCTAAAGCATTGCCTGGGTTATACTGAATAGAGGATTTGCCTGGTGCAATGCAAACATGGCAAAATTCCATTAAATCATCACTTTAAAAAAATCATTTGAAACCAAAAGAATTGGAAATTTGTTTTCTTGACAAAAAGTGTCCACAAGTGTAGAAATTACCATGTGCTTGAACTTTAAATGCTATGAATAATTTCTTATGGCATGTTTCTTCTTTTTCCTAATTTTTTTTTTTTAGTGTATTCTTACAACAGAAATCATCTTTTGATATTACTAATAGAACACCAATGTCATTGGGAATAATGTACTGAAACTAATTAACCCTTTGACTGAGGCAAGCTATTAAATATTACACTTTTATCTATTCAGTACTTAACAAGCAATAAGCTACTGAATTGTGATTTCAAACTCCCAAAAAAGTGTAAAGAACTTCCAAAATCAGAGGCACAAATGCCCATAGAATGGAAGTTGTGTCAGACTAACTGTACTGATTATCTACCTCGTGTGGAAGATTATGCCACATCTATTTTAAATACTGATGGTAAGAGAATAGTAGAAGATTAATTCATTCAGATAATCCAGCTCAACAAAAAGCCTCACAGTAATTTTTTTGGTTTGTTTTATTCTTTCTCATGTATTCAGTTTGTAAATGAATGCATGATGTAAGGAACTATAGATCTTATCACAGTATTTAACTATCTGGATGCCAGCTGAAAGAAATTTAATCAGAGGAAAGATCTAAATTCAATATGAAAGAAACATAAATGAAAAAGTGCCATTTCCAAAAGTGGATCATTAAGAGAACAATTTATAGTGAGTAGCTTGTTGTTTCTGTGTCTCCAGCGCACCCCTGTAATCGGGTTTAATCCGATAAACTGGAGAAAATGATCAGCACACTCTAAAGACAGCCCTGCTGTGGCACCAGGCCAGTTGAGCACTGTGGGAGGTGCTGGAGCTCCTGCTCTGGAGCCACTGGGATTGTCCCTGCATGAGGGGCAATATCAGCACACAAGGGGAGCAGCACCTGAGCATGTCAAGGTGAAAAATGACTGTGACAGGCAAAAAGAGACATTCAAAGACACAAAGCAATTTGTACTGCACGTGGAACAAATTAAGGATGTCACCAATTAACTAAGGAAGCTTTAGATACATCTAAGAGTGGTTTTCTGGCTTAATTGTGAGTATTTGGTGCTCGGTCTAAATACAAAAAGAAAACTGAAAAAATCAGAGAAAATGCTCTTTACTGGGAGTTTAATCTAATTATTACTTTGTATTTAATCAGCAGCAGAACTTGCTGAATACCTAAGCCAACATTTATATTTGTAAGAAGCTTCAGTATTTTTTAAGGCAACCTAAGAAGTTCCCAGACCACTGCTGCATGCAGTAATCCTCCTCCAAGAATGGCAGTAAAAGAGGGCAGTAAAGGATGCTATTTAAGGACAAAATGCAAGCTTGGTTGCTTTCTGCAGTCCTTTCCCATAGTATCATCCCTAAATGTTGTATAGAAATATGAGAGGGCTCATCCCTCCTGTTTCCTTCAGTGTTTGCTTGTGGACCTTTTCATGGATTTCTCTAATCCCCTTCTGAGCCTGTTGATGCTGTCTGTCTCCACGCTTCCTGTGGTATGAGTTTGAGAAGTTGGGTAGCCACTACACAGAGAAGAATTTTCTTTCATCTGTGCTTTTATCTGATGTTCCACCAGTTTCAGTGAGTGGTCCTAGTTCTGATATCAAGGGATTTCAGGAGCAGCAGTTGTGCATTTAGTATATCCAAGGCCTTGATGATTTTGTAAACTTTGATTGTGCTGCCCTAAGCCACCCCCTCTCCAAGGCTCTTTTATTCCTGTAATCCTCTTCATTTTAGCTGCCCATCCCTGCATCTTCTACAGTACTGCACCACTGCCAAAGGCTCTGACACTGGGGTTCCATTCTCCCAGGGATTGAAGAAAACACATTAGAAATTTATATTCTAAAAGGCTGAGGCAGACAAAGAGTGGGAGAGGAAAGTGAGGAAAGATTGCACTGACCCTCAGTGCTCTGGGGGAGCTCCACATCTCCTTCACTGCTGCTGCCCACTGCTGGAGGACACCTCAAGCTACTGTAATTTTTTATTTTCAGATACATTTTTTGAGTACATTAATTTTCTGAATGTTTCATCAGAGCCAGTTTAATGGTGCCACCACCCTCCACAGCAACCCCAGTACTGGTAAGAGCAGCCACACCATGAGTTGGTGATGTGTTCTGCCTGAAAACTCACCCTGCACAACTGGTTAATTTTCAAACAGATGCAGTTCACCTTGTAGCCTCAAAAGTATTAAAACTGGTGCAGAGGGAGGGATGGGAATAACAATCAGGGTGTCATGGGAAGGAGAGCTGGACTGCTGCTTTTATTAGCAGTATGCATTTATGCTGGATGGAAAGGATGATGGAGCTGAGGCTTTAAATTTTCTAGGTGAAATAAGCCATGCTCCCTCACTCTCCCTGGTATAAAGCAGTTTGGCATTCCTCAGCCTTCCCAACAGCCTCTAACTGCCTCTTTTCTGTCTTTCTTGTGGGTAATGGTTAATACTGTACATACTTAAAAACTGTGCTCTGTTGATAATTTACTAATAATTTCTGACTTCTCCAGCTAAGGGAGCATCTGTAAGATATCTAAAAGCAATGAGTTTTTATCCAAAGTGAGAGAGCAAGCCTATTTGCTTGTCTTTTACTGCTAGTATTCTTTCAGAAGAAATAAAACAGAATGAACTAAAAAACCAAGAGGAAGCAGTGACTAAGTCACAGAGAGTATTTAAATCAAGGGCACCAGGAGACTACAAAGATTTTTGTAGCGGAGAAAAACAGTGGTTAGTGATACATGACAGGCAGAAATTCTTCAGCAGATGGTACACAGAAAGAGAGATGTAGAAAAAGGAAAGATAAAATTAAAAGGGGATTTTTTTGATGCTGTCAAGAAACTTGACAAAACAATAACTCTCAATTACAATATCTGGAGAAAAACAGAAATGTGATAACAGAAGACAACAAATATCATCAGAAAGACCACTGTTGTTAGCTCCTGGGAGCATCAATGGATGCTGTTCACAGAGTTTTTCAATATTTTCCAATTTGCAGACCCTTAAATAACTGTCAGTAAAGATGATTCTGCTCTCCTTATGGCAGGATGTGTAGAAGACAGTTTTTGGTATTAAAGATCTGTCCCTATTTCCACAAGGTCCCAGGCCTCCACTGGGACATTTTGTGCACACACCTGTAGGTACACACTCATCCTTCTGGGGTAAAGAGCTTCCTGATGGGAGTTTGTCTAGAGCTGAAGAAGAAACACTTGTACCCAAGTGGATTTATACACAAAACCAGAGAGACTGGTGGATATTCATTTAAGGAGTCATCAAAAGCTGGTTTTCAAAGAGTGTTATTTGTTTGAACAGAACTGCCATGGACAGACAAACAAAATACCTATTATTTGATTATTTCTAGTTTTAATATTACTGTCTATATTGCTTGGTTCAATGCATTGGTGGTTAAACATTATTATAATATGAAACAATACTGGTTGAGGTTGGTGGGTTTGGAGACCTTCAAGCACAGGCCCACACTGGTAGCAGAGCTGGGCCTACAGCCAGGTTTGCAAATTGTAGGGAATTTTTGACTTTTCCAAATCTAGGCTTTATGTCATGACAAACCTTAAATTTCTATACATATTTTCTGTGCAGTCTTACACTTAGCTGAGAAATGAATCTGACATTCATTTGGGTTCCATACAGGCAATCTCCAAGCTGACACAAATGTCTGCTCGCTCAGATTCTGAACGGGGCTGCCCAGGAGCCACAGCTTCTGGGAGGCAAACCAGGTCCTCCAGGCTCCCTCTTTGTTCCACATCTAGTGCCTGGGAGCCCTGCAAGCACTGATGGAGCATGCCAGGCTTTCAACTTGCGGACTCAGTGGCAGACTGCCTGAAACCTCTGGCATAGCTGGCTGCCTCCAAGCTAAACGTGGGAGTCCTGCCAAGCAGACTCCACACTGCTCCTGCTCCCTAGGGACACAGCCTTAGGACCTTGGCTCAGATTTGGAGAAAGTTTTGAAACCCAAAATGTTTGGAACAAAATTTCAGTTATTCAACAAATTGGGCATTTTTCTCTGAAACTTTCTTCATTTGTAATTTGTAAAATTTCAGCCTGGTTTTCGTGTGGGTTTCTGTGATAATAATGGGACACAGGGCAGGATCACACTGGCATCCTCTGTGTGAGTGTGAATACTGAGGGAGTTGAGGAAATTGTTGGACTTGGTGAAGAGTAGTGCAAGTTACTTCCACTTGATGTTTCAGACCCCTGGATCAGGAAATGTGGCTTCTCTCAAGCTTGCAGGGCAATATTAAGAAAAAACCTAGTGATTTGATTTTGACCCTTCTTCACCAATTTCTGTCTGCTATTCCTCAGACAGTCTCATCTCTCCTCTCTGTAGCCTTCTCCACTCTGCATGTGCTGGGTGTCCCACAGCAGGACTCGAGGGATTCCTGACCTTGGCAGAGCTGCTGAGTTTGGGCTTTTCAGAAAAGAACCAGACAGAGATTTAAAGATCTTTTCCTTTTGCCTACAGAATGCAAGGGGAAGAAAATACAGAACACAAGTGATGGATTTGGAGAACACAAAAATTGTAATGAAGAGCTGTGTGAGAGGAGCTGCAGAGATCAGCTCTTGGGCCAGGAGAGAACACCTGGCTGCTCAGGAAAAGCAGCTTTCCCCTGAACCAGAGCTCTCTGCCAGAGATTATTCAGTCAGGGGTGATGGAGGCCACTCCTTAGCTCTTGTGGGGACAAAGGAGAGGCTCATTTGACCTTACAGTTCTTTGTGACCCTTCAGTTCTTCATTAAACAAAAAAATTTAAAATATGGCAATTAATGCATTTCAAAGATACATATTGTATCAGAACTTCTCCACTTATAAAATAAAATATTAGAAAAACTTAATTAGAAACAGTAAAAAAAAACCCACCAAAACTTTATACACATGTGTAATTAGATATGCAAATTATCTTAAAGAAGCAGGTAACTTTTAAGCATTCTTACATGAGCTCAAACTCCTCACAATGCAAAAGCCAAAATACACTTTTAAGTGATTTAACTTCAATTTTCATTGGCTTCATCAGGAGTACTTATGCATTTAAATCTGACCATGCATTTTGCTGGTTTGGGAGTTTTTAATAGCATATTTGATGCCTGGTTTGAAAGATTCCAGTAGCTGTCACATAGAGCCAGTAAGACTGGGCAAGGTCAGTTCTCTTTCCCAAATCAAGGAGCATTTGCCAGGCTGCCAGTAGGCTGGAAAATGGAAAGCAGGGTGATATAATTTATGTTGACTTCTGAAAAGTTTTTGGCAGGGCAATTCAGCAGAAGCTGTTAAGGAAATGAGTACTATCATGGGCTATAGAAAGTAGCTAATAAAAATAAATAATTGGAACAAATGGTTACTTTTCATCATGTCAAGCTGGCTGTCCCAAGGACCTGCAGGAGGATTAGTTTATTTAATGTATGCATTAATGAGCTGGGAAGAGAAATATGAGAGGAAAACTTGAAGGCAATACAAAATAAGTAGAGTGAAAACTAGGAAAGATTTTGAAGAGCTTCACTGAATCAAAATAAAAAGGTGAATTGGCAACAGTAAAGCAGATTAAATGCATAGTGAAAGGGATCATACATAAAGCTGTGTTCTAAATTAACTGTAACAAGGAAGGAAAAAAACCCCAAGAGCAACTGTGGATCACTCAATGAAAACCTTTATGCAGTGTGTAAGAGCAGAAAAAATAATTCTCCAAAGGTTCTATCATCACTGTATCAGTAAGCAGTGGGAAATCATTTGGAACAGCTCCTGCTGTTTTCAAAAGGTATTAAAATCACCCCCCACACCAATGGCACAAGGAGATACTCAGAACTCTCAGGAATCAGCAAAGCCTTCCAGGTGGCAGGGAGGCTGAAAAGGCTGGGGCTGCCCACAGACTGACAGGGCACCCTCCACCCCATCCCTTCATAGAGGGACAAGAGGCCACTCAGTGAAAGGAAAGGTCAGCTCCCCCCAACAAAATCCCAAATCCCAAAACCTGATCAAATAAAATGTGCATCTTATTGTTAGCTCCTAAAAATAACTGTCACAAAGCACCATTGAGGCTGTAAATTTGGTAGGATTAAAAACAAACCAAAAAGATTGGACACATATAGATAATGAGAAGCTATTTAATTTCCTGTAAGTTGAATAGTTTTTATAGAGAATATAAACCTTATTCTTGGAGAACTAAGCCAGTCAGTAACTATGATGATTAGAGAGAAATGTCTCTTATATCTTCTTGTTCACTTCAAGACTGTTTCTACCTTCCTCTAAAGTCTGTCTTAAGACTTGTGATGTGTCCAGTCACTGTCAGAGACAAGGACCTGGCTGTTCTCAGTGTTCCTGATTATGACAAGCATTAATACTGAGAACTTGAATGTTATTCAGCCACACTTACCAGGGGACTTTAGCAAGGGTGGTATTAATTCTAAAATAATTCTGGTTTCTCTAGACCACTGGGTGTGAGCACACCTGAGTAGTGATTTGTTAGGTGGTGATACACAAACCCAAAGCTGCAGCACTATACACATCTCAGTTGTCATTCCTACTCCATGCCCTGTCCTCACTTCCCATGGGGATTTACACTGCAAATCTCGTGACAGAGCCCACACTGCTTCACCATCACTCCGTGGGAAAGGGAAGAGAGAAGCCAACTGATAAAAAAAGTGTATAATATGTAGGGAAAGTGTGGAACTTGTTTGTGTGCTTCTCACCATAGCACTTGTGTGACAACAGTTTTTCCACGAGTGGGCCCTACTTGCAATGAACACCCCCTCCCTCCCGCACAGAGGAGTTCTGTAAATCACATACCAATTCCATTCACCACAGGGGAATTGTTACTGACTTCCAACACGCTGGGCAAGTTCTGTTCTCCTTCGTGATCATTTAAATCCACGTTTTGCTGCTGTGAGCCATTCCCAAAATGTCTAGAATCTTTCTCATGGCTGCCATCTCCATTCTGCAGACCATTGTGTGGCTTTTTCAGTGGCATAATCTGTAAACCGCTGGGAGTAGTTCGGTAAGTCACAGTTTTAGCAGCCCTGTCATTTGCAGATCCTGGCTTTGCTGCATATCCTCGTTTCTGTTTTTGATGAGATGGATTAATTCTCTTCCTTTTGTGTGTTGATCCTTTAGACTTCCCAGATTCAGAAGGTCTGTGTGATATTTTCTCCACGGACGAGCCTCGGCTTTCTCGCAGCAGTTTGGGAGCACTGCCCTGTTTGCCGTGCCGGGATCGCTTCTCTCTGGTAACGTGCAGTCTGTTGAACTCATCAATAAATTCCTCACAATGGAGCAGGTGGTGTTCAGGTTCCCAGGTGTCTTCATTGCTCCCATAGCCTTTCCACCTAATCAGATATTCCCATTTGCCCTTCTTGTTCTTCCTTTTGTCTACAATCCTCTCTACCTAAAAGGAAAAACCAAAACTGTGTTAGAAAGAATTCCCATGAACAGACCGGGCAGTACAGGAGTGAAACACAGAGCCCCAGTGGTATTTTGACAGCAAGGCCACTGCCCCTTCTGAAAACATTAAAAGAGACATAAACACATCCCCAAAGCTGATCTGGGCATTTTCAATAGCTCTGATGTGAAGAAACAAGAGAGAGTCTGAGATCATTAATGAAAGCACAATTTCTTTGAAAATCTGGTTGCAAAATGAGACTCTTGCTTTACATTCCTCAGCTACCTCTTGTTTCAAAGAGCCAAATAAAGTGGCTTTTGCTGCTTTGTTTGTTCTGATCCTGAATCCACACATGTATTTTGTCCCTATAACATTCCCCAGTCTTCTTTGTGCCTTGAGACTACCTTGAACAGAAAACTAATGACAACAAATTGCAGTATTTTACAGCAAAGATCTTGTCTGCAGTAGTGTACATCCACTTTGCTGCCTCCAACTTACACAAATTTTTGAATGCACCAATTAAAAAAAAAACAAAGAAAGGGCATTAAGTCAGGATTCTTACATTGAAGGAATGAATTTTATCAGCCTGTGCTGGAGAATGTCATTGTAAGGAACATTTCTACACCAAGGGCTAATGGACTGTATTGGGAATGCACCCTAAATGTGAATTAACAGCAACATTATACTGTGCAACTTGGATGCTGGTCAAGCCTCAAGTAGAGGGAGAATGCAGAGAAAAATCCAAACACCACACCAGTGGTAGCAAGTAGGGATTAAACTGAACCAAGTGAAATTCAGATCAAGTCATTGGGAAAAATGTTGTAATGGCAGTAGGAATTAAGTATTGGAATAATACTTGGTAATGTGGGAAAGGTAGGGAGAAAAACCAGTTTTTGTTACATAAATCTGTCATGAAAAGTCAATGCTGGAAGATCAGTTATGATAAGGAAAATTTCAAAGACTCTCCCAGGTTTTCTTTTTTCATTGTTTAATTTTTAAATTTTGTTTTTAATATGTGGTTTATGAAGGATAAAGATGCCACTAATGAAAAAAAATCATTATCATTAACCCAAAGCAGTATTGTTAATTTAGAAGAATAAATAAGTGGACAGATCATGTAACAACTTTCACTGCTCCTCAATGAAAAATCATCTCATGTGAAGAACAACAGTGGAATCTGTAAGGAGAATTTAACCTTGAAGGAGGGCAATCACAGCAGTGTAAGTAATTGTTCATTTTGGGTCCCTTGTTAGAGCAAACCAATGGATTAATTCTGTCTGTTCACTGCCTGGAACTGTACATTCATAGAAATCTTGGTGGGTTCCCCAAAGGAGTCTAAATGTAATTAGCAACTAAACATTATAGTTCTATCTCAGTTCATTTACATGGGAACTGTGCTGAGATATCTGTCTCTGAGTCAGAGTGGGCACCTTCCTCCATCTCCAGGGCTCCCACTGCAGCATCTCAAACAGCTCCTTCCTGTGCTCTGGCTTATCAAATATCTACACAGAACCACCTCAGAAGCAAAGCAAGGCATCCTCTTTACTCTGAATTTAGCACAGTCCCCTTCAGGACTGCTCAGAGAGGCAAAACAATTAACTGAAGCTCAGGCTGGGCAAGTTTGAGATCATTTGTCTAAAAAGAGGGAAAAGGCTTCAAAATGAATGAACTGGCATTTTTTTTTCCTCGTGTGGGATGTGTGGCTTTCAATTGTCAAACTAATAGCAGACTTATTATGATCTGGTTGACTTTATAGAGAGCAGCTGTCCAAATTAGCCTTGGCTTTAAAATACTTTCATCTTCCTATCAGGGACTAGCCAGAAAAACTGTACATTGAACCACGGAACTCTGTGTGGGCTGCCTGTGGATTTGTTACCTTAATTACTGCAGCTTGCTAAAGCAAGGAGCAAAACACATACATGTGTGTCCTGGGGAAAAAATGAAATTGCTGCTAAACTTGGTAGACCACAGCTATCAGTACTGGAGAGTGTGGGTTCCTGCTTTTCTGTCTGCACCAGATAAACAGTGTACAGGCATTCCCCTCCCTTTTGATTCAGGACTTTCACTTGGAACACAAACTCTGTGTCAGTTTGGTGCAGCTTGAGAGTTACTTGTCTTTGTTTTGGGGGATTGCACCAGCTTTGTTCCCCAACTTGCTCACTAAGGGAAGAACCTCAGAAAGGATGGACAAATACCTTTTTTGGGATCACATACAAAAACCATCTCTCCACCCTCACCTTGTTTCACTTGGGCACATACACAGATTTCTTATTTTGACATTGTTGCTCTATGTGAAGAGGTTTTGTGGAGGGTGTTGTTTAATATGGAACACACTCAAGTATTTTGGTGATGAGGCATCCTGCATTTCAATTAGGAGGATAAAAGGAGAAAATATGAGTAGTCTTTGTTCCTGGGAAATAAAATAATGGCAATGGAGGATGTGATTAACCACTTAAACACATCATGAAGGGAGAATAAAAGCAGTCATGAAATTGGGTCAAATTTAATAAATAGTTTCTGAAAAAAAATGTTCAGAAAGCAAATATATTTGGGTAAGACAACATTTTCAGAACAAAACTATCAATGTTCAAATTTAACTTACTAAAATGAAGACTAAACAAACTGAAGACAAAAAGTTTTGTTTCTGGTCAACCTTCTTTTCAGTTTATTGTTTTGCTGAAGAGGAAATGAAAAAAATGTGGTATAATCCAAAATTAGTTTGTTTTCCTTGATTTTTTTAGTTCAACCATAATACCCAGTGGCTTGACTAATGATGCATAAAAAGTCTGAGTAGATATTTTCCTGTCCTCATTACTGCCTCATTGTTCACTGAATGCATCTGAGGGGTAGCATCAAATATACTTGACCTCTCAACATGGTCCTTTTTCTACCACAGGGCTTTAAGTTCTTCAGTAATATTTATCCCCTTTAGGTGCCACTGGGAAGTGCTTTAGTGGAGGCATAAATATCAGGGTTTGAGCCACACCTGCTGCTGTCTGTCTCATTTTCCTTCTATCCCGTCCACAGTAACAACAAACATCACTACTTTGTTTTTTTAATGATGTGTATTTGTTTTAACAGATACTATGTGAAATAATAATCTGATTGTATTTACTTAAGGTTGCACAAATCATATCAGTTTTCTTAATGAGAAATAATTCTGTGACAGCTAGTGATTAATAGAAATAATACTTTAAATCCTCCCCTAGAATAAGCAACACATTTCTGAGAATATGCCGCAAACATCTAGGGCTTCAGTGTCTGATTTTCCATTTCCCCCCTTAGTTCCAGCTTTAATCAGAACTGAGTAACATGTTCCCAAAAGTGACCCTGGTAGTTAAAGTTGCCAAATCCACGATTTCGCTATATTTGCTTTGGAAAACTAAGGAGTTAAATTTAATAAAAGTGCAATGACTACAAACAAACCTTGTAGAGGTATCACAGTTAAAAGATCTTCAGAAATGTCATGTACCATCACTTCCCTGGATTCTCTCTCTCTCCCTGCCCCTGCTGGCCAATTCTGGATGAACTGAGGTTCTGATATGTTACCATATAAATACTTTTAAAGAGAACAAATAGAATAAGAACAAGGCATCTGTGCAAATGCATTTGCAACAAACTTTTTAGCTTCCAAGTAGTCTTAAACCTTTCTCTATACACAGCTGCACAAACTAGGATGAAAGTCATAAATAAAAAGCCTTTAAAATATATCTGCATTCTATACTTCATGTGAAATAAAATAATACATTAGTGGATTAAAGTACAAATATCTAGAGCTTCATAAACTTTAGTGTTTTGTTTATATATGCAGAGTACAACAACCCCACCACCCTTCCTTCACAGAAAATTCTGGATCAAAATCATTTAACTACACAAAGTTATTGTTTGCTTATCGAAAAAATTAAATCTAGGCTAAGTTTAAAAAGGGCAATTCCTATGGAATTATTTCTACAGCTGTAACTATAATGCCAAAGCACAGCACACTCATCTCAGTTCACAGCTCTGAAGAGCATAAATAAAAATCCTTGTGTTCCCAGAAACACCTTCTGGGAGATCAGTAAACTTCTAGAAACATTTGGAAGGTTGCATACACACTTAGTGATTTCCAAAATAAACACATGTCATCTCCTCTTCTTGCCATGCACATGCATGGAAGCAACTGAAACTGTAATCCCTGGTGTTCAGATGGTCTCTGGTAGTGAACTCCTCAGAGCACCAGAGCAACTGCAGGACAGACACTAGAAAAACTGCCTTTCATTACTAAGATTACAGGACTTGTACTGGTTTATGTGGGTTTGTTTCATTGGAGGTCTTTGTCCCATGTTGTGCCTGAGGGTGTTGGAAGTGTGTTTGAAGAAAATGCCAAAGAAGGAAAGGCAGTAAGATTTCTGAGAGAGATAAAGGCCATCTGATTCAACATGTTTGTCTTTTAAAAATTCAGTATTGCCCTAACGTCCCCCTTGTTGTTACCTTTGCTTTGAGAAATACTCTATCACATTAGCAGTAAATCTTTTGCCTTCTTGTCTTTGTAACTTGTTTTTGTTTTTCTTGTTTTTGTATTTGATTTCACAAAATCTGGTAATTGGAGCATTTGTTCCAGATGTACAAAAAATATGGCAACATATCTTCTGAAGCAGCCAGTATTCATGTTAGAAAAATAACAGTGGAATGGCTGCTGGGACTCTCTTCAGAATCTGACCCATGGAGTAGGTCCAGCTAAGAAAGCCCCTCAGTACTAAATCTGTGCTGCTACCTGGAAGGTCACAATGAAATAAAAGGGCTAGAGAGTCTTAAAAACAAAGGGGAAGCCTTTCTTCATTGGAATTACTCTTAGGCAAAACATCAAATGACCTCTTCCCAAGAAAACCAGTGGACACCCCATTAATCTCAAAAGACACTGCTACACTGCTTTTCATTCAGTTCCTTTTTTTTTCAGCATATGGGGTTTTTATTTTCTGTTTTCCAATTTCCTTAGAATCAGAAGAGATCGTAAAACTTAGTAAGGA